GGGGTGACATGCTCGCAACGATAGACAACTTGCAGTTCTCCTTACCAATGGTGACAGCGACAATGAAACTGGTGATCATATGGCGGAAGAAATCCGGTAATGTCAGACAACTCAAACAACTCATTATCAGTTCAAACAAATTAATCAGTAGCACTAATCTCGATAAAACATATTAAATACAAAACATTGCTTAACGAATCTAATTATAGATAACTCAAAATATATAGATCAGTCTATTGACAATTTTTCGTCACACAAAGTATCTCTGTAAATCTGTCAACATTTTTCATAAATATGTAAATCTTATGTAAAAAATGAAGGATGGGTAAAATGGGCCGATCTTTGCCCCCGAAGTGTACGAAAGTTATGCATATAATTTTATGTTTTTGGGGTCGCTGAAGACGATGGTAGCATTTATAGTTATAGTAATGTATATAGTTAAATAATTAGAACAAAATCATCACTTATTTCGACCTCTTTAAAACAATTTTTGACAACTTTTCCATGGGTTTAAACGAATACAAATACTACCATCGTCTTAAGCGACTCCAAAAACACGCCAAGGATTACACACATATAACTTCTGTTACACTTCGGGGGAAAAAATTGGCCCACTTTAACTATCGTCCTTTCTATATAGCTAATCTACATGTATATTTATCAAGAGTTATTTCGTCGATTTTGGGCCAATTCCTTTTAGTGACACAAGTCGACACAAGTATCGTTCTGTCTTTGTTATTCATTGATGCCAAGAAGGATAGAACGATGTTTGTGTCGACTTGTGTCAGTAAAAAGAATTGGCCCTTTAATAAGACTATCAAAATGTATGTTGTACCATAATGAAAAAAATCGCCATTATTAATTTTTCACTTTCGTAAAAAATGCACATTTAAAATAGATTTTATAAACTAGAAATTATTTCTACTTTAATTTTGAACACTCGTTTTTAATACAATCTTGTTTCGTTAAAGATCTTATATTGGTGTTAAATATGATTGCCGATGATTGGTTAAAAGCCAAAACCGACGAAGAGCTGCATGTTATGATAAAACATACGCAGAATGCGCGTGTTATTAATATATTCGGATATATTTTTATGACTATAGGATACAGTTTACTTGTATTTCCACCTATCTTCGGAATATCATTGAGATATATGACAAATACTACGAATCCAGTTAAGATCTTGCCTTTGCATGGCGACTACTTCTATG